CTGGAGGATGACACCATTCAATATTATATTACTAATCTAAATAAAAACATGCAAGAACTTAGAGATAAGGGAATGTTAGCACAGAATATCCCTTTGGAGTTTTCAATACATAAAATTCAACCAGGGGACAAGGTACTAATAAAAAGCTGGAAAGAAAGTAGTTTAACCCCTCGTTGGGAAGGACCATTTCTTGTTCTTCTGACTACAGAGACCGCGATCCGGACAGCAGAAAAAGGGTGGACTCATGCCTCTCGAGTTAAAGGACCTCTCCTGGCAATAGAGTCGAGCAACTGGAAAGTAACGACACTACCTGGTGAACTGAAGCTGAGACTCATGCGTGAGGCAGATATTTGATGATGTCTAAGTGAAAACTGTAACTGCTCTTTTATTCTGTATACTGAATGTAGTTATTGTAAGGAGAGGTGGTATTATCATCATTACAGCAGATACCCTCCAAAGGAGCTGTGTTTAGATATATATTGACTGAACAAATTTTGACGGTTAAAACCACTTAAATTTGTAATAGGGTAGGAATAAATAGAAGCAGGTGGTGAAACAGATTTTGAGCGGAACTCAAGAAGGTTTATAATAGTTTTGTAAACATAAAAAGTACTGAGTGTCGCAAACAAAACTGAGTCCCCGTTGGCCATAAGGCGGTTAAGGCCGAGAACTGGGAGACTGTTAAAAGACAACATGAGAAACGGCAAAATTCATATGGTGCCCCTGAAGAATACCCCTGCTGCCGAGAAGATGATATACCTCACTGCCGGAAGCAACCCGGTAGGCGAAGGAGGCAGAGGAGTAAAAAGAATGTGGGGCTTGGTAATAACAATTTTTCTAATAATCTCTCCCCAATCTGGGATTGCCAACTCATGTTCGAAATGTTATCAAAAGGTTAAATTCGGCCAAACAACGATTCGGTCGTTTGCGTATCACACTCATATCAATGCCGGATGCTATGACTCAAAACAATTGGAAACTTGCAGATTTGATGGTAAAGACCTGTGGGTAGCGACAAACTTAGGAGCACAAACTGGAAGAGTAAAAACCGGAGTTGGTAGTTGTCCCCGTGAAGAACAAAATATATGTTTTACTAAAGGAGGAATGTGGGGATACTCTGATGGAGGACGAGTACAAGATAAATTTAAAGCGGAATTAGTAAAAAATGCTACAGAGAGGCTAAAACAACCTAAAACCGGTATTTCCCGGAAAGGATCTCCTAGTGAGTTATATGAGAAGATTAAGAGTAGAATTAGTGGGTGGGATCTCCCCACCCTAGGAAAAAAATTATACATAGATCTAATGCAGAGAATAGTGAACGAGTTAAATGTGTCCAATTGCTGGATTTGTGGGGGATCCCAGATGACAGAACAATGGCCCTGGAGAGGGGAGGGAGTGAATCCTCAACAGTTAATTCTATGGAATAATACACATAAATCTATCGAACAGAGACCTGAAGGGTGGGTATTAACCAATCAGGTTCTGGGTCAAATATGTATATCTAGGGAAGGAAAAAACTTTACCCATTTTGTGGGACATACTCCCTGTAAGATGATATTAACCACCAACTCCACACAAACAAATATTAGCAAAAAATGGTGGCCAAAACCACCTAAAGGATATTGGTCGCAACAATGTAACAATAATGAAACAATGTGTTGGAGAAAGACAACTAATAGAACTACAGCTAACCCATTCCAGGAAATTATGGACTTAAGATCTTTTTGGGAAAGACCAGAACAACCAAGCAACTGGAAGGCCCCGATGATTTATTCTGGATATGTGGGAAAAAGGCCTACAACAAATTACCAAAGGCTTGGAGAGGAACTTGTACAATTGGTATAATACACCCGGCCTTTTTCCTACTACCAAAGCAGAAGAGCAATCAGTTAGGAAGGCCATTATATGAAACCCTCGAGCAAACAAAAAGATTTATAAAAATAGGGGGGGATCAAAGGTGGAAAGAAGAGGAATGGCCACCTCAGAGAATAATAGAATATTATGATCCAGCAACTTGGGCTCAGGATGGGAGCTGGGGCTATAGAACTCCTGTATACATGCTAAACCGCATTATCCGACTACAAGCAGTAGTAGAAGTAATTACAAATCAAACTGCAAAAGCATTGGAATTAATTGCTAAACAGCTATCTCAGACACGGGCTGGGTTTTACCAGAATCGACTAGCTTTAGATTATCTATTGGCCGAAGAAGGAGGAATATGGGGAAAATTTAATACCTCGGAGTGCTGTCTGGAGATAGATGATAATGGACAAGCAATAACCCAAATAGCAGAAGAAATAAAAAGGATCGCCCATGTACCAGTGCAAAGATGGGACTCAAAATTAAATGATAATTGGTGGAATGGTCTACTTGGGGGCGCGTGGTGGAAAAAGGTTGGCTTTATAATTGCTTGTTCATTAATAGGATTACTGTTTTTGCCTTGCATGATTCCATGTTTTGTAAAATTAATCCATTCAGTAATACAAGGAATGCAAATCTCAGCTATGCCATTAGACCTGGAGACAGCAACTAACGGTAAAACTCATTCACTAATGATATTACAGATGGGAATAACACCAATATTATCTGCAGCTCAAAAAGCAGTTATTAAGTTAGAAAACAAAGCACGAATCAATATGTTACAAAAAGACAAATGGGGGAATTGTAAGGGATACAACTATGATTCGTGCCAGCAGCTTAGAAACCCTTGTAACCATTGCACTTGGTATGAGAAGAAAGAAGTAATAATGTAATAATCATTTTTTTACATTAGTTAAGTGCCATAAGAATTATATTGTAAAATTCTGAACACTTTGTAAACTTTAGAATATTGACTAAAGGGAAACAGCTGTAACCGCCCAATATATGCTTATGCAAGATTGTAATCACAATATATAGGAACTAAGTCTTAAGCAAATAACAGATGTCCGGTAGTGCCAACAATGCTTATACAAATTGAGGTCTTTGCAAAGGGATGATTTGTCACTCAAAGGTCACGAGATAAGGAAGAAGAATGAAGAACTTACGATTCAGCAATCTTCAAGAAAGCAGAATAAGCAAAAAAACAGAACAAGGACCCTAACAACAGGATACCATAGACTCAGACAATACCCTAACAGGATACGTATGCAGGATGTAAAGAGCACAGATACCAGATGTGATAATGTATAAAAGAGTAAAACCCAAAAGAGACAGTGTGCGTTGCTGGTGGAGTGAAGGCTCCCCTGCGCACCCAGCGCTGCTTGCTTATTGCCTTTCAATAAATTGTAAATAAATTAAATTTGGACCAAAATCCTGTCTATGCTAAATTTTTATAACAAACTGGCATGTGATCAGACTAGATGTGGAAAATTTTACTCACAAGCAGGTAAGTCAAGAACACGGACGTGATGCTAGCTGTAACAAAGATGTGAAGTGTGGTCATCTGACTGAATGATTATAAAAGTATTTGTGGTGTGAAAAGGAAAGGTTATTCACTATTTAGCAGGTAGGGAGTTATTAATGCAAAAAGGAAAGGTCACCACTTGCACTGGATCTTCAAGCAACAGGATTTGCATGGGGAAATTCACCACGCTAAGACTGGTTATAGACATGGATACATGAGGGAAAATCACCTTCCTCATAGAGCCAGGATGGAAGATTGTCAACGTTTAAAGAACTTATTGTTCTTGGGATCAGGCACAGAATTAATCCTCAGGACACTGAAGGTATTTGCTGGGATATAATTGCCATTAGAAGAAATCAGAATACTGTTTAAGCATAAACATGCCTGGAAAGTGCTTAGATCAGGCACTCTTGCCTACTTGTCAATACGCACTGGGGCAGAAGAGGGAATGTTGCATTAGTTAGATTGTTTGGGGCCTCTTTAAAACACCTAAGAACACAAAAGGAAAGGTGAATTCCCCTAGTAGAGTGATAAACACATAAATGTATTGGCTTTCGCAAATCCTAGGTGTGGCTATGTGGATATAACTGTATAAATTCACAATAACAAACAAAACTTGCTAAGGACACAAGATTAGACAACAAGTTAAAAAGGGGCAGAACTCTTGAGCAAAAGAGAGTCACATAGCAAAAGAATTTGAAAAGGTAAAAGAAGAGGGGGGGTGTTGATATAAGAAAAGCTAGTGCCTGGAAAACATAGAGTTAAAGGACTTTTTAGCTTAACTTAGGTTGTAGGAAGAGAATAATGTTGTAAGTCTGTGGAATTTAGTGGCCCCACTAAACATGAGTTAATTGTTTCACACTAGCCTTCTAAAGTACCTTTAGCTTTAAAGAACAGTGTTTGTGTTGTAAGTCTGTGGTGAGATAACAGGATTTAGTGGCCCCACTAAACATGAATATTTCACACCATCCTTCTACTTATCAGTTAGTTGAGAGACAGAGTCTCCCAAACATCTGCTAGCTTGGGATACTCCTTGTCTGCCTATCCTGCAATAAATTTTGCAGGAAGGTCACACTTTTAAATCTTTGCTAGTTATCAGAAGAATTACAGATATGTCTGGTTTCAGCTAGCTGTGTGATTACTGGGGTGTCCAACTGTGCCAAAGGTGAAAAGTACACTATGAGGAAGACTGCTTACTTCATCTTGAAGACCCCTACTCACAAGAGGAAGACTGCTTACTTCATCCTCAAGACCACTGCCCACGATCACCAGAGAGCAGTGCACAGACACCAAGAAGAGGAGACTTATGATAAGTTCCTGAAGCTAGTTATAATATTCCCCACCTATACACAGAAATTATGAATATGTATATGGCTAATGCAATAGTGAAAGTATATAAACCTGTAACAAATACTCATGCCTCTGGCTACGGTCACGCACCCAGCACTGTTGCTTTTGCTTTATTGATTTTGTCCCTCAATAAAACCCTGTTATCTCGTTTAGAGGAGCAAATTCATATTTCACACTAGGATCTGATCAAATGAGAGGGCAGGATGGAAACAGCATATCCACCTTCGCTTCCCAGCAGTCAGATGAAGCTGGCTTGGTTACTCACCGGGACACGATCAGGGTATTTGGCTCGGATTTTTGCCGACTCGACACATCTGTGCTCTGTGGACAAAACTCGCAGTTAGTCACTGCACGGTAACGAAACTGCCGGTGTCCCAGGCCCGCAGGGACGGCAGCCTGTGGGGTTCGCAGTCGCCTTGCCCCCGCCGAGTGGAATCTCTGGCTGTTCAGGGAGGCGTCCTCGGGCATCGCGCCACCCTTCGCCACCACGGGCGTCCGGCGGCTGTCCGCCCAGAGACAAGCCATCCGGCCCGGGAAACCAACCGGAACACAGCGACACGGTAGACGGCGGGCAGTGCCCGGCCCGAGCCCATCCTTACCCAGCGCGTGGTCCTCCTTGAACATCCACTTCATGGTGAGGCAGAGGGGGCTCGTGCCGGACCTGGCGATGTCACGACGCCTGCCACAACAACACCGCGGCTCGGCGGGCGGAACTTCCGGTTCGTCGGTTCCCTAGCAACCACCTGAACTCGGCGCTTCCGGCGGGCTCGCGGGCTGGGCTGTGGCAGCCGAGAGTGCCACCATCTGCCGAACGCGAGGCCATGCGTCCGCTCGGCTCTGCCCGGGCTGCTCCAGGCAGCATCGTGGGTACCGCCACCTCCATCCCACTGTCAGTCCCGGGCGCGCTCCCACCTCACCGTATTTTCTTCTCCTCTGTTGGGTTATTCCTAGTCTAGCTCCGCTACATCTTTGGATATGTTTTGTCTCTCTTGGTTTTGGTTTGGTTTCATTTTGGATTTTGGTGTGTGGTGTAGAAAACATTCTTAAAGCTACAAGGCCCAGAGTAAAGGCCTGACATTCCTAAATTTGTGCTGGAGTATCAGGTCAGTGGCATTCCTTAACCCTAACTGTCTTGCATTGGTTAACCCCTTGCATCAACCTTTATATAAATTGGAATATTTTTCCTTATCAGGAGGTTATGTTCTGGTACTGCATGGTAAGGCACAATAGGTATTTGCTGAGCGATATATCTGTTGAGTGAGCCATATAACTTGAGCAATACCCCCTTGTACAACCCCCCTGTACAATTTACCTAACCCCCCTTGTACAATAGTCCACATCAGGAAATAAGAAAATTTTCCTTCAGATTGAGTGGTTGATAAGGGCGAAGGAACATTCTTGTTTGGTCTTTACTGTTTGAGTATTTTAAAATGTGTCTCCAATGAATGTGTTTAGTTATCTTGCTGCTTTTCACATGTCAAGTCAAATCTTTGTCATTAGGCACAGATTGTTGGATATCACTGAATTTCTGAAGGACTGATTGGTTTATAAAGTTAGGTAACTCCCAACTAAGGTAGCTAATTGAAAAAAAAAAATATTTCTTATTTGGTGTTCCCTTGTTGTGATGTGACAGTCTGAAACTGGGAGTCAGAAAAAATATAAAATCCATGCAGAAAATCTGTAAAAAAACAAAGAAGTAGAAAAGTGTGTTGTGTTCTGTCTTGTCCTGTCCTGCCCCGTCCCCCCCAGATTCTCTTTTCTTGTGTTCACCATTTCAGAGAATGTCAATGCTTGTGATGCAGAGCATGGCTCTTCAGTATTTTTCTCCTGTGCCAGGGTTTCAACTCTATATAAATGGACACCTGAAACTGAACCATAGGCAATTACTTAACCATTGTGGACTGGATACCAGATACAATGTGAGGAAACTTTTTTTTCTGTCTTCATCAATTCCCCCTCTCTTTACCCTCCTAGTGCCATAGGTTACACCCTAATTATTCATACTCCAGCACAGAGTGGATTGCAAAACTTTGGAACTGGTATTTTCTTGTTAGGCTGAAAGGCGGATAAGGTTATTCTGCCAAGATGTTCAGTCTGATGGTTATGTGCATTCCTTCAAGGGCACGGTGACTTTGTATAAGAAACTTGGTAGAGTTACTTCCTTGAAGAGTGGACAAATAATGCAAGTATCTCCTTGTTGTAACAGGTATCTGTGGTCAATGGCACAAGTCTCTTTGCAAGTGACTATGATCTAACAAGCATCATTGCAGCATACTGGGATAGATATAGTAAGCCTGAATGTACATCTATGAATTACAGGGCAGTAGTCATTATCATACTGGCAGCTGTTCCTTTCCCTGTTTTAGTTAGAACAGTCTTTTCAGATCCCAACTGAGACAAAGGGGCACAAAATCACAAAAGAGAATATAGAAACCTTTATAAATAGTTTTAAGTAATGTTAAGTTTGATGGCTTTGTAACAGTAGCAATGGAAAATTACTGAGGTGCAGGATACATAGAGAAAAATATATAAAGAGTGCAGCTAGAGAACATACTGAGAATTCTCACAAGATAAGTCATTATAGTTGACATAGTTTTAAGAAAAAATATCTAGAAGAATAGGACACAGGGATAAGGAGTATCTGGGAACTGCAGGTGTCCAGGATGGGCTACAGTTAAACTAACTGATAAGTAGGAGGATAGTAGGATTATTATGTCTCTGGTGCTAATGAACCAATTAAACTGGTATGAGCATCTACTGCGCGTGTCTCAAAGGCTGCCAGAAGTGATGAAGATTGGTGGAAGAAGTAAACGACCCTCAGAGACCACCACCACAATTCTGTACGCATGCAGGGAACTCTCTGGAAAATGATGTAATCCATACGTAGCCTCATGAATATGTATGTATGCCCAGGGTCTATAAAAGGACAGCTTGTGTGGCAATTGGGGGACACACATTAAGAGTAGCTATCCCACGTGTCTCCTGGCGCCACAATAAAGAATACCTGCTTGTCAGCTTGAAAACTTTGTTGGCAAGTTTGTTCCTGGAGTTTTCTCCGAATCACAACCCTGTGTGGATGGCTGGAAGAGCAACAGATACACCATTTATCATTAATGCCACTATTCATTACCTAGTGGAAGTTATCTTGTATCCTTTGAAAACTGCATATACTGTGACATAACTGGGTTGCATTATTTAGGCTTTCACACATAAGCCAAATAAAAACTGTTTTCTTCTAGACTTGTTGCTGAACCTTTTCTTTCTTAGCTAAACAAATGCTATAGTTCTGAAGCTAACTGAATACCTACTTGGCCATTCCTCTGGATGGTTCTGCTTGCATAACCATTTCTTGTCTGTTGTGGTTTAAACCCAGCCAGTAGCTCAGAACCACACAGCTGCTTGCTCACTCCACCCCCCCCACCCCCCCCCCCCTTCCTCCACCCGCTCCTGGAGGGACAGGGAGGAGAATCAAAAGAATGTAACTCCCACAAGTTGAGATAAGAACAGTCCAGTAACTAAGGTATAACACAAACCCACTACTGCTACCACCAGTAATAATAATGATAAGGGAAATAACAAGGGAAGAGAATACAACTGCTCACCACCTGCCAACTGATACCCAGCCCGACCTCAACAATGATCTAGCCCTTCTGGGTAACTCCCCCCAGTTTATATACTGGGCATGATGTGCTGTGGTATGGAATACCCCTTTGGATAGTTTGGATCAGGTGTCCTGTCTCACAGTATCACAGTATCACAGTATCACAGTAGGTTAGAGATTGGAAGGGACCTCAAAAGATCATCTAGTCCAATCCCCCTGCCGGAGCAGGAACACCTAGATAAGGTTACACAGGAACGTGTCCAGGCGGGTTTTGAATGTCTCCAAAGAAGGAGATTCCACAACCTCCCTGGGCAGCCTGTTCCAGTGTTCCGTCACCCTCACTGAGAAGAAGTTTCTTCTCAGGTTTAAGTGGAACCTCTTGTGCTCCAATTTGTATCCATTACCCCTTGTCCTTTCATTGTTTGCCACTGAGAAGAGCCTGGCTCCATCCTCGTGACACTCCCCCTTTATATATTTATATACACTAATAAGGTCACCCCTCAATCTCCTCTTCTCCAAACTGTAGAGACCCAGCTCCCTCAGTCTTTCCTCATAAGGGAGATGCTCCACTCCCTTAATCATCTTAGTTGCCCTGCGCTGGACTCTCTCCAGCAGGTCCCTGTCCTTTTTAAACTGAGGGCCCCAGAACTGGACACAATATTCCAGATGAGGTCTCACCAGGGCAGAGTAGAGGGGAAGGAGGACCTCTCTCGACCTACTAACCACCCCCCTTCTAATACACCCCAGGATGCCATTGGCCTTCTTGGCCACAAGGGCACAGTGTTGGCTCATGGTCACCCTGTCGTCCACCAGGACCCCCAGGTCCCTCTCCCCTACACTGCTCTCTAACAGGTCGTTCCCCAGCCTATACTGGAACCTGGGGTTGTTCCTGCCCAGATGCAGGACTCTACACTTTCCCTTGTTATATTTCATCAAGTTATTCCCCGCCCAGCTCTCCAGCCTGTCCAGGTCCCTCTGGATGGCAGCACAGCCTTCTGGCGTGTCGGCCACCCCTCCCAGCTTAGTGTCATCAGCAAACTTGCTGATAGTACACTCAATTCCCTCATCTAAATCGTTGATGAATATATTAAATAATACTGGTCCCAGTACCGACCCTTGAGGCACTCCACTAGATACAGGCCTCCAACTAGACTCCGCCCCATAGACTACAACTCTCTGGCTTCTCTCCTTCAGCCAGTTCACAGTCCACCTCACTACCCGATCATCCAGACCACACTTCCTCAATTTAGCCGCAAGGATGCTGTGGGAGACCGTGTCAAACGCTTTGCTGAAGTCGAGGTAGACCACATCCACCGCTCTACCATCATCCATCCACCGCGTTATTTCCTCATAAAAGGCTACAAGATTGGTCAAGCACGACTTCCCCTTGGTGAAGCCATGTTGACTGCCCCTCATAACCCTCTTATCCTTGATATGCCTTAAGATGGCACCAAGGATAAGGTGTTCCATCACTTTCCCAGGAACGGAGGTGAGGCTAACCGGTCTATAGTTACCCGGGTCCTCCTTCTTGCCCTTTTTGAAGACAGGAGTGACATTTGCTTTCCTCCAGTCCTCAGGCACCTCTCCCGTTTCCCAAGACTTGGTAAAGATGATGGAGAGCGGTCTAGCAATGACCTCAGCCAGTTCCCTCAGCACCCGCGGGTGCATCCCATCTGGACCCATGGATTTATGGATATCCAGATTGCTCAACTGGTCTTTAACCCATTCCTCATCGACTAAGGCAGACCGCTCCGTTGACCTATCTTCATCCGGGGTCTCAGCGGTACAGGGCTCTTCAGGACTGCCTCCAGCAGAGTAGACAGAGACAAAGAAGTCATTCAGTAACTCTGCCATCTCTGTATCTTCTGTCACCAGGGCACCCGTCCCGTTCATCAGCGGGCCTACATTGCCTCTGGTGTTAGTTTTACCTGCCATGTATTTGAAAAAGCTCTTTCTGCTGTCCTTGACCCCTCTCGCCAGCTTTAATTCCAAGGAGGCCTTAGCCATCCTAGCAGCTTTCCTACATCCTCTAGCAGCAGCCTTATATTCTTCCCAAGTGGCCAGCCCTTCTTTCCATGACCTGTAAACTCTCCTCTTCCACTTGAGCATACCGAGCAATTCCCTATTTAACCACGCAGGTCTCCTGACCCTCTTCCTCGACTTCCTACGTGTCGGGATGCTCCGATCTTGAGCTCGGAAAAAGCAGTCCTTGAACGTCAACCAACTATCTTGGGCCCCTTTCCCTTCAAGCAGCCTAGCCCACTGGATTTCCCCTAGCAATCGCTTGAAGAGGCCAAAGTTTGCCCTGCTAA